TGACAGCAGGAAGTGGAAGCCACCCAAATATCTATTAAATAAGGCACTCAACCCACACAATGGATTATTACCCAGCCATGAAAAGAAATGAGGTCCTTCAACATGAATGCCTAAGCCCAGAAAGCCTTTTGCTAAGTAATAGAAGCCCATCACCAAAGATCACACATTGCTCGATTTCATTTGAATGCAATCTCCTGAATGGATAAATCAATAGAGACGGAAAACAGGCCAGCAGTTGCCAGGAGCTAGAGGGGGAAGGGGTGGAGGGTGACTGCCAACAGGTGTGGGCCTACTTACGAGAGCAACGGGAGTCTTCTGGAATTAATGACGGTGATGGCGGTACAATGTCAATCCACGAAACTAAACTGCAAAATGGTGTATTCTGTGGTCACTGAGTTAAACTGTAATTTTAAAATGTCCAAGGAGAAGGAGTACCTACAAAGCAGGGACAGGGGAGGGTTAAACCGCAGGAAGACGCATGGGCAAGGCTGGGAGCTGTGCCTGGCACAGGGTAAGCACTCAGACATAGCAGCCATGCTAGGACAGATCACGCTCACACTGGCTTTCTGCTGGAACACAAGGGGGATGATAGTGTAGGAAGGGGCAGCTGCTATTCCATTCTTAAGCAGCAGCCCAGCTGAGCCACGGTGGCACTGCAGATCGCAGGGTCTGCCACCTCCCTTCTGTCTCTCCAAGAGCTGTCTCCATAGCAACAGCAGCAGCTCAGGGCAGGGGCTCCCATTCCCTGTCTGGTGACAACATCGCCTCAGCAACCTGTCAGGATGGCAAAGGCAAGTCCCGAGAATGGGACTGTAGCTCTGGCAGAAGAATTGCTGAGGGACCCTCGTCTCCATAGTAACCATGTCAGGAAGTAGAGGGAGGAGGAGAGAGAGGGCAAATAGCAAATAAACAGGATCTGGAGCCAGCACCACACATCAGGAGGAGAGACCAGATGTCAGGCATCTATCTCTTTCCCAGGAAAGAGAACGGGTTTTTTTCAGCGCCTACTCTGTGTCAGGGTCAATTCTGGGCTCTTTACATTAAAAACCTAAATTTTACATTTAAAATTCCACAAGTAGGGCTGTGGGGCACCTGCTGCAGCCTTGATGCCCCGAGTCTGTCCTGAGATTGTCCTGAGACTCCCATGTCCTGGGATTCATGGGGTAAATAAAAGAACCAACGTGTACTCCAACATGCCTGCTGTGGAGGACAGACACAGATACACAGGGGAACACACACACACACACACACGTTGTGAGGTTTATTTTGTTTGTTTTTCTTGTTTTTTTTTGTGGGGGGGGGGGGACAGGGTTTCTCTGTGTAGTCCTAGCTGTCCCGGAACTCTCTCTGTGGATCATGCTGACGTCGAACTCACAGATCAGCTTGCCTCTGCCCCGAGTGCTGGGATTAAAGGTGTGTACCATCACTACTCAGCTGAAATAAAGTTTTGAAATGTATTTAAAAAAAAAACTAATCTCACAAGTAATACCAAGTACGCTTTGATTTGTTCTTAAAGACAGGGTCTTCCTATGTTATCCAGGCTAGCCTTAGACTCCTAGACCTAAGCCATCGCCCCCTCAGGCATCCCTGGAATAGGGCTATAGAAGAGCCCATCATGTCTAGCTTAAGCACGACATGTATCCCATCACTACGTAGCCAAGGATGACCCTGAGCTTTTAATCCTGTCTCCATCCCCTGAGTGCTGGAGTTACAGATGTGTGTGACCACGCTCATTTTATTTGGAACTGTACATTGAATCCAGGATGGCATTTATCCTAGGAGAGCACTTTACCAACAGAGCTACATTCCCAGTCCATTTTTATCTTATTCTTTTGTTTGTGAGACAGTCTTACATCGTAGCCCAGGCTGGCCTCAAATTCACATTAGCTCTCTTGGCTCTGCCTCCCAACTACTGGGACTATACATCTGATTATTCAGCCCCTGAAGAGATGGCCTATTCAGGGCTATCTATTCAGGGCCTGAAGAGATGGCTCAGCAGTTATGAACACTTGATACTCTTACAGAAGACTAGCTCAATTCCCAGCTCCCACACTGAGCTGCACACAACCGCTTAGTTCCAGGGATTCCAATGCCATCTTTTGGCCTCTGAAGGTATCTGGACACACGTGCGCACAGACATACAAGCAGGCACACACACACAAAGTCTAACTCTGGGCTGGTGGTATATCTCAAGAGTCCACCCTACCCTGGTATGTATGAGATCTCAAAATAGCTTGTGGAATTTTTCAATATATGCGGTTCTGTAACTCTCTTTTTTGGTTGCAGTGGGTCTCAAATCCTGGGTTTCATGAATGTTCAGCAAGTGTTCTACTACTGGGCAATGTTCCCAGCCTTTTATTGGCTTCTTATTTCAAGACAAGGTCTCACTATAGCACCTAGGCTGGTCTTAAACTTTCCCTGCAGCGTAGGCAGGCCTAGAACATGCCACTCTCCCCTTCAACCTGCCACATAGCTGGGATCACGGGTCTGGACTCCAGGCCTAGCTTCCTAATTTCCTTTCTTAGTTTACAACATACCTTGGGGACTTTCTCATATAAATACATACTTTTCTACTTTTGAAACATGTGGTAAAGGTTATATCATATAAATTTATTATCTTAAACATTTTTTATTATGGTAAAATATATTTAACATAAAGTTACCATTTTTGTCTTTTAGTCTTTTATTTTTGTTTTTCTGGTGCCAGAGTTTGAACCCAGGCACCCTTTTTGAGACAGGGTCTCATGTAGGCCAGGGTAGCTCACACTCACTGTGGAGCTGAAAACAACCTGAACTCTTGATCTTCCTGCTTTTGCCTCCCAGGTGCTAGGACAGCAGGTGGTGACACCACCTCCTACGTAAATCTACTCATTGTGTGTGACCACAAGCACAGTCTGTCTCCACCCCCTTCCATGGCTCCAAACTGAACCTCTGCCCCCCACTAAGCAGTAAGCCCGATTCCCTCCTCTCCTGCCCAGCACCTCTACTCCCTGGCTAGTAATCTGATTACTCTAGGATTCTCAGATAAATGGACTTTATAACATTTACCTTTCATGTCCGGCTTCTTTCGCATGGCATGGTGTTTTCAAGGCCCAACCATGCTGCAGTGTGTATCAGCACTTCAGTCCTCCAGGGTCAACAACTGTCCCCTTATGCGTGTATACCCATCGCTCAGCACTTGAGCTGCCTCTGTCTCTGGGCTACTGTGAACAATGCTGCTATGAGCACGGAGGGACGAACATCTCTGTCCCTGCTCTCTGGGATATCCTGAGAACTGGAACTGCTGGGTGATGCAGTAACTCTGTCCTTAAGGTTCTGCGGAATGGTTACATGATCTCAATCTTTCCAATGTCTTCACAGTATTCCATGTTCACTCAGAAGGTGTTTGTTTGTTTGTTTCCTCTTCTTTCTGGTTCTAGGGATTGGTCCCTGTGTCTCCGTGTGCCAGGCACCTACTCTACCACTGGGCTGCGTTCCTGACTCTTCTGGTTACACAAACTTCTCAGTGATCCCCAACAGCCTTGTAAACTGGTACTATTTGCATTTTGACATCACAGAGCAGCGTTTCTCAACATGCGGGTCACAACCCCTTTGGGTTTGAATGGCCCTCTCACAGACCATCAGAAAACACAGATATTTACATTATGACTCATAACAGTAGCAAAATTGCAGATATGAAGTAGCAATGAAAATAATTTATGGTTGGGGTCACCACACGAGGAACTGTATCAAAGGGTCGCAGCATAGGGAAGGCTGACACCTAGAGAGGGGAACTGCCTTCAGTAGCATCTCTGTGGAGAGAAGTCTGGGGCAATCTAAACAAGCTGCAGCAGAGGGACTCAGTTTCCCTATCTGTGCGGGAGGAATAGGCTGTGCTCTGAGGGTATTCTGTAACACCCCTAATTTTCACCATCAGAGATGGGAACAACGAGATAGTGTGCAGAAGGCACCCGGTGCTGTAGGCAGCCCACTGTGGGCAGTCAACTACACGAAGGGAGGAAACCTCACACTCAACCCCGCAGCACATTGCATGCCACGGCAGCCCTTAGGGCAGGTCCTTCCCTCTCCACTTGTGGGGTACTTGGCACATGGCACCAACTTGCCCACTGTGAAAGACGGCCAAAGGACTACTCTGCCCTCGGGACTGTGATGTCTTGGCTCTGGACTACTGGCATGCTGGCCCTCTTAGGAAGCAGGTGGGTGCCCCGGAAATGTACAGCCTGGGATGCCTAACGAGCAGCCAACCAGCTGAGGGCCAGCTGTGCCTCTGAGGCCAGAGGCCGCCTAGCGTTTGGACCACACACCTTCTTCCCCACCCTGCTGCCAGAATCAGGAGGTAGCTAGGCTAAAACACCACCCGGGCGGGCGGTTTTCCACTGGCATTCTGCAAAGCCCCCAGCAGCCTGCAGGACCTTGAGAACCCACTCCGCCCCCCCCCCCAAGGAAGCTGTTTGCTCAGCCGTGAAATGCAACACAGCTTTGCTTCGCAAAGATTCCCGAAATATTGTGAGCTTAACTCGCAGCTAGAGGAGGGTACAGCAGAAGGAAAGGCTGACGTCAACCAGGGTGGGGGACACGGGGTCTGGAAGTCACATTCAGAGACAAGTGGGAGACCCAGGCTAAGCATCCTTCTCAAACTAAGTGGTAACATCACCCGAGTCCCTAAAGCATGTCCACGCAAGCTAGTCAGTGACCAGGGACAACTGCCCAGCCTTCTAGATGAGGAAACTGAGGCCAAGAAGGCCAGACCCATGCTGGGCATTGATGAGTACACCCTCAATTAATCCCAGAAAGAGTAATTAATCTCAGTAAGTGTATCTCCCTCACCACTTTATTGTGAAATCCATTGTAGAATATAGACGAGGTGTTCAGAAAATACACGCTAGAAGGATGAACGGATAACCAACACTGCCAGGGAGGTCCAGAGGACGCACCTCAGTCCACATACAACCAGGAGGGAATGCTCAGCCCATCTGGGCCAGCTGGGCCGCAGTCCTCACCTCTCTGGGACGATCCAGCTCCGTTTGCAGCACCTGCTTGGCCAGCTCCGTCTCGATGAGCCTCTGCCGAAGCCCCTCGTTCTCCTCCTCCAGCCTCATCCGCTTCTTCTCCACCACCTCCAGCTCCTTATGAAGCCGCATGGAGATGTCCTTAGAGACCTGAGCCAGGGTGGGAGAGAAAGGGGGCATGTTCAGGCTGGGGGAGGACACACCTCGAGTCCCAGAGACCATCCACCTCATCACCCTCATTCAGCAGAGATGGAAACTGAGGCCAAGAGCCATGAGTATAGGGATTAACAGACCCCCAAACCCAAACCCAGGCACCTCAGCTCCCAGTATGTTGCCCCCAAAAGCTGGGATGATCTTATTCCTTTCTTACAGGTGTCTTTATATTCAACCGGGGGAGCCTGTGAGGGGAGAGAGTTGCTTTGGAAGCCCAGCACAACATGAGCGCCATGGATTCTTCAGCAAGTCATTTCCTGACCCCGTGCCTCAGCGTTCTCAGGGTGTATAAAATGGGCACAGCAGTAATGGGGCAGTCTCAGGGCCGACATGAGGGTCACATCAGCTACTGCTCACAAAGTCTTCACCCAGCGCCTGCCACAGTGAGTGTCTGCTGACCAGTGGCTGCTGCTCCCAGGAATTGATGTCCAGAGACAGACATGACTTGCTGGAGGTCACAGTGACCCTGAGGCCTGTTCTGAGATATAGAACATGCTAGAATGACAAAGGCTGGGCAAATGTCCAAGTCATCCCTTGGATGCAGCTAGCAGAGGGGCAGTCTCTAATTCCGGGCCTAGGCCCAACAGGAAAAGCACCCCTGACTCTGGAGGATCCCCTTGGCCCCTGCTGCTGGGTGTGGTAGGGTGGGGTTGAGGTGGGGTGAAGGGAGCCCTCCTGAGCAGGTAAAATACAAATAGATGCTATCCCTAGGTAGGCTGGGCCCTGCTGACACCTAGATACTAGTCCTGCCCTCAGAAGTGACTTTTCCAGGGTCACACACAGCGAGTATGGCTGAGCTGCATTGGTATTCCCTGTGGTTTGGAGGGGCCAGCATAGCCAGGGTCCCCCGGGAGTCTAAAGGCTTTGCCAGCAAAGCCTGTGCAGCACAGACAGCCGGGCACCCAGGCCTGCCAATGTCGGAAATGACCATGAGCCTCCTCCCTCTGGAAGAGAAGAGGCCCTCCCTGGCTCTGCCCACTGCCTGGGCTCAAGCCCAACTCAGGCCAGACCCCGTTGGCAGTGTGCAGGGAAGGCCAGGAAAAACAACAGTGAGAGGAAACTGGGCATGGTTCTCCTCCCTCCTCTGCCCACTGCCCCCTCCAGCCTGAAGATCTCTGAGGACGCCAGACGGAGGCACACAAGCCTCCCCTGTAGCCACGCTGGGCCACAAAGCTTTCCTCACCCATAACATAGGATAGGCAATCCTTTAATACCAGAAAAAGATTTTTCAGAGAAGAAAACTAGATTGAAGCCCAGTGCCAGCATTCATGGCCATGTGGTCTGCAGTAATGGGTGGACACACTGTTCATGAGGGTTGCTGGAGCGGGTAAACGCACTGGGGGTGCCTGGGTGGTGGCTGGAGTCCAGAGGGTGATAAAAAAAAAAATACAAGGCTTCTTATTTACTATTATTTTTAAATAATTCGTTCTATTTAATGTATTATAAAGTTGCATTTATTTCATAATTTCATGACCTATTTTTGATTCTGTAAAATACTTAACCACCAGAGCTGCTCAAAGGCCACAAGTTCAAGGAACCATCTATACAAGGATTTTCACTTTAGGCTGTGCTGGGAATGAACCTTGGACTTCTGTGCACACTAGGTGAGCATTTTCCCACTCAGCCACATCTCCAGCCAGACAAGGAAGTTTTTCCTCCCAGTCTAGCCTTGAGCTTGCTACTAACCAGGGACGGCCTTGAACTTCCGATCTTCCAACCTCTGCCTCCCAAGAGCTGGGCTAAGAGGAGTCGTCCACCTTGCTAAGTCTTTGCATTGCTGAAGGCCAATGCCAGGGCTTTGTGCCTGCCAGGTGAGCCCTCTGTCTGCTGAGCTACACCTCCAGCCCAGCCACAAAAGCATTTTTAATGTTTTACCGATTACTGCTTCGCCTCTTTGCATTGATTTTATCCACCCTGGCCCAGGCTTACAGCTATAGTCCCCAATGTGGGGCTATTAGGTCACTCAGGAAGCCCTCTCCTCACCAACATTCCATTCATTTATTCATTCATTGCCTTGGCACTGAGGTGGAAGTGGTGGACCATGGAGATCAAGGCCATGCCTATCCGGATTCATTCACCTGTGTCCCAGTAACAGCTCAGAGCCTGGTATTCAGTAAATGCCTGATAAGTGCTTGTTGGGGGAACAAACAAATCAGGGTCCAGCGCATGTTGAAGGAGTGGCTGGGTGAATATATGTGGGGAGCTGCCCCTGACCCTGCCCCACTGTCCAAAGAGAGCTACTAGGGCCAAGGGTCCTCTCCCAAACATGGTTCCACGGGGGGTAGAAGGTGTCCATCTGAGAAGCCCACTAGATCCTCTTCCTTCTCCATGGATTCCCTATCCCCATGTTCACCCCACCCCAGGGCCACAAGTTAAGTAAGTGCAAGCGTGCGCATGCATGTACGTCCAGGTGCGCGCGCACACACACACACGCACACACACACACACACACACACACACACACGGAAGCTGCAGAATTCTAGACAGAAAAGCCCACAAACTCAGATCCCTGCAGTGCCTTGCAGTCTCCGGGTACCACAGCCACCAGACTGGGCCGCAGGAACTGGAGCCCGGCCCTGCCTTCGCCTCCCAGCTTTCCAGCCTCCCAGGGCCCTGGGCTCTCACAGGGCATTTATAGAAGCAATTAGCTCCTCCTCAGGCTTTCACCATAAGCTTTTCTCACTCTCGGGACACAGTCTATTCCCACTTTGTGGTTCAGAAAGGAAAGGTCAGTTGCCCAAGGTCACATGACTGAGAAGGTACCAGGCAGAGTCAACTCTAAAGCTGATACTGTGGGGGTAAACTTGAAGGCATACAACTATGAACAAGAGCAAGTCTCAACACGGCTTACTACGTCAGAAGTAAGCCCCATGTGCCTGTCTCACTGAGCCCCACAATTACACCCAAAGGAGGGGGCCGAGAGACCAAGAGAGGAGAGGCAGCTGCAGCATCCGGACTCACAGCAAATGCCTAAAGCACAAACAAATGTGCTCAGCCATGAGGTCACTGTTTACAGCGCCGGCCTTGGTCCCTACCAAAGGCCATCAGCAGCTCAGCAGCGGAAGGCTCCCAGCTCCTGGACACATCAGCTCTGGGCTCTGAACCTTGGATTGCAGTAATCTTCAGGGAGAAAAATGGAAACTGTAAGCAGCATCTCGGGCCGGGCAGCATCTTAATTCCCTCAAGAACTGCATGATGGGAATGTCACCCCATTTTACAGAGGGAGACTGAGGCTCCAAGGAGAAAACAATGCAGGTCACCCAGGACACAGAGCCAAGGCCAAAGCATCCTTATCTATGGATGGGCTACACACGTTACCGATGTGTTCTGGGACCTTCTACAAGAAAAGCAGTGGGATCCTAGCACCCCCCCCCCCAAGCTCAGCAGTCTGGGACCACACGCATAACACAGTACCCTCTTTAGTAATTTCATTTTATCTTCATAGAAATCTCTATAGCGAACTAAACTTATCTCCACATTCCACAGGGAAAACAGGAACAGAGCTGTGAAGCAGCTTACCCAAGGCCACACAGCCACAAAGTGGCAGCTTGGGGCTCTATCTATTGGCCCTCCCGTCCTCTACCATCCTGCTGAGGTCGGAAGAGATCTTAACTGTGTGTACCAGCAAAAAGTCAAAGAGCCTGGGGGTTGCTATGGGGTGGCCGTGGGAGATCTTCCTAATAACGCATGTGCCCAATAAAACCACTGGTGCTCAAAAGGCCTGCAGGGCACAGGGCCAAGGAGCCTGCCCAGCAAGGGAGGTATCCCTAGGCGTACACTCCTCTAACCCCTCTCCACCTGGTTCCCTTAGCCTGCCTGGGGGAAATCAGCATTCTCAGGACTGCCTGAGAATTAATTGCCTCTAACATTCCTAGCACACTGGGGCGAAGGGTGGCGGCAAGGCTGTGGCCAGCTCAGGCAGAGCCAGAGCGTGAGCTCAGCGCTGCAGCTGCGAGGGGGGCGGGGTGCAGGGGAGGCACGGAGATGCTGATTGGCTGATTCAAATCCCAACAGAAGGGGCCCTTCCCCTCCTCCTGGAGGGCTGAGCCCCATCCCGACCCCAGCTGCTCTGGCCCCGCCCACCAGCCTGTTCCCCCCCCCCCCCCGCGTTCCCCCCCCCCACTCCCTCCTCTCCCAGTAGGCTTGTCTAGGGTCCTCCCAGAAATCCTCAAGGACCAGTGAGCCCATAGGCCGATTTCCACGAACTTCTCCACTCTCCTTCCCTCCCTGCTCTGTCTCCCACCAATGAGGGAACTGGAGGGTGTTTTTGTTTTGTTTAAAAACAAACAAACAGGATCTGGCTGTGCAGTCAAGAAAACAGGCTCCTCACTGGTACACAGGCTTGCTAGGAGCCACAGCCTTCCTAAATCAACACTGGTTCTGGAATGAACAGCAATCTTTAGGAGTGACTTGCAGGGCTGGATTCTCAGTGCCTTCCAGCAGCAGGCCTGTGTGGATGGCTCTGCACCTGTCTGACCTTGGGGCCCTTGGGAGTCTTCCCTAGAACATCCCAGGCCCTCTCCTCTCTTGGGCCTCAATGCAGAGGTCACCCACGGGACTCCTGGGCTCCTCCCTGTTCTGTACCAGCCCCAGCTCCAGTGGCCCCCTGCTCACACTGGGCTGAGTTGGAAGAGCAGAGGCTGGCTCAGGCGGAGATGTCTCTCCTGTCTGAGTGGAGCCATCCCTGCTTCCTCCTGAGGCAGAGGAGCAGCAGGGTCCAGCAGTAAGGTCTGGGGTTAGCTGGGTCTGACTTCCACCACCCACACTGGATAGGTACATTCTCCCTCTGAGCCCCAGAACCCTCACCCAGAAATCAGACGCATTAATACTGGCTGATCACGGTCAGTGTCTCTGGTGTCTTAACCACAATTTCAATATCCTAGGTTCAATGTTCTTACATCCACTTTGCAGATAAGGAAACTGAAACATCACTTGTTCAAAATCACAAAACGCAGGCATACAGGAGCCCAGCCCTGATCAACACCATCCAGCCGCAGTCCTTTGATCTCTCTCTCAGTAGCCTAAGGAGCTGTGGAAGGGAGCAGGGACTGTGTAGGAGCCACTCAGAGGCCAAAGCCAGATATAGGCAAGAGCCTTCTACTTCCTGCTGGGGGGATGGATGGGAGGCAGGGGGAGTTTTGGTCATATCATCTTGGGACATCCCATTTGGAGGACCTGTTGATCCACTAGGGTCCCAACTTTGCAGATGGGAAAACTGAGAGCAGAGAGGCAGGATAACTTGCCCAAGGCAAGTAGTAAGCCACAGGGCTAACCTGGATCCCCAGTGGGGCCTATGACTCAATCATCCAACATGAGCACCTATAAAGGTTGGTGGAGACCCCCAGACTGACCTTGACGTCCTGCTCCAGACCACGGATGAGTTCACCATCCACCTGGCCTGTCTGGGCAGCACGGAGGCTGCGGCGCTCAGCTTTACGCAGTCGGTATTGCAGGATGCGACAGGTCTTGCTGGCTTGGTCCAGCTGCTGCCGCAGCTCCTGTAGCTGGTACACGTCTTCTTCCATGTAGACATCCCGCATTTCCAGCATCTCAGCCCGCAGCTCTTCGATCTCATCCTGCAGGATGAAGGAATGGTCAGATCTCCAGATGCCATGACAACGCTGGTGATACCTGGCAAGCAGACTTGATGGCCTGGTGTGGCAGCCACAGCTGAGCTCCCAGGATTGGAAATACATGCCTTCTGTGGCAAAAGGGGCGGGGTGCTGAAGATTGACTAAGATAAGGGTCTCCAGACAGAAGCATTATCCTGGACTCTCTGGGTGGGCCCTGAGAGAGAGGCTGCTGGGAGTGTGAGGAGTCAGTAGGGGGAAGGCAGACAGGCTCTGCTGGTGGAGAAAGGGCCACCAGCCAAGAAATGCAGGCAGCTTTAGCAAGGATGAACCGAGGGGGTTCTGCCCTACAGCACTCAGCAGACCTGAAGCCCTGCCAGGACTTGAGTTTCAGGCCTGGAAGATAACCTACAGCTATACCACTCTTGAGATTTGGATCTTAACCATCCCTGCAAAGTCACCTGCTATCAGCTGTCTTCCTTGGCACACACATTTAATCCCAACATTTGAGAGAAGGCAGAGGTAGAGGCACAGAGGCAGTTCCTTCCAGGCCTGCCTGGTCTATACAGGAGGTTGCAGGCCAGCCAAGGCTACACAGTGAGACTCTGTAGCAAAACAAAACAAAACATTGTTTACTTTTGTTTAAAAGATAGGGCAAAGAGTTAGATATGGGGAATATGGAGTTGGGAAGATCATGTGTTCAAAGCCAGCCTCAGTGTATGAGACTACCTAAAACAAAACAGCAAACAACAAGCAAACAGGGCTGGGGGGAAAGAGGGGTCAGTCACACAGGGCTGGAAGGCCTGGCTTGAGTTTTCAGTGGGAGGCACTATAGGTGACCTCACTCAGGAAGGCCAGCTACTGCCCCTCTGTCACCAGTTCCCATCAGCACTTCCCTCAGCTCGTCCGAAATTCTGTGTGACTGTTGGTCTCCCAGTGAGCACAGTCGCCCCACCTGCCTGGCCCCCACATCTAGCACCAGCTTGGCCTCCTGCAGACTTTCAACAAGTATTAACTGAATGAACAAAAGCATGCCTAGCTAATGAAGAAAGACAAGAGAGAGGGACTTCCTGTTGTGAAAGACAGCAAATGACCACCAGACACTACATAGAGGGGCAAGCAGACACCTCCCAGAAGAAACACATAATTATGCCTCATAACAAGTGTGGAAACTGAGTCACAAGCATGAAAAATATCTGTTAAATAAGATTGCACACTGATAAGGGAAACTGAATCATCAGGGATGCGTCCTTGACAAAGGCACTCCCCAGGGTAAGCACTCGCTGTGGGTACTGAGGGAAGCAGCGAGGGAACCAGAAACAGAAAGGCCACTCTGGAGAGGGGACCCGATCGTCCCTAAAGAATATGGGAATAAAAGGGAGTCCCCTCCCCACACCCTTTGCTCACCCCAAGGGTCTCCATAGTTTTGGTAAAGGAATCATCGGGGCCTCTCCTCACACCTGCCTGCCAGCGGGCGCTGGGTTGGACTGCAATAGGTCCAGACCGTGGCCTGGCTGCCGTGGTTCCCTGTGGGATGTGGTGTAGCAGGACAAGCACGGCCGTGGGTCTGGACTGCAATAGGTCCAGACCGTGGCTCTCTGTGGGGAAATGGGTGTGGCCTGCTAGATTGATGCCAGGTAAGAAGCTACGCTATCCAGGCCACACCACACCCCAGCCTTCCCCACATCCTTCTGCCTGGCTTCTGGAACCATTTCTCAGAACCGGGAAAGGAAAACAGAAGTGACAAACTGGTAGCCCCAGCCCCCACATGCCGTCTCCCTCCACTGACAGCTAATCCGTGAATCACTAGCTGCCACGCCAGTAGTGCCTGTCCTAGGGGTGTGTCCATCAGCACTCCAAAGTGGTGAGCCTGCCGTTGGCCGCAGTGGACACCCCACCCCCAAGTACAGAGTCACCACTCCACACCACACCAAATGGGCAGACTGGAAGTGGAAGGGAGGAAGTGAGGCATTCGGCTGGCAGAGAAGGCAACAGGAAGTAAGGGGCAGGAGATGCAGGCAGACAGTACATCCCTATAGCTCAGGCTGCAGGGGCCCGTGTTCAAGTTCAGCCTTGCCATCCATGAACAGCTCACATACTCCCCTTGCTGTTCTGACAGAACACGGTGACTGGGAGGATATGGAGGTCTGAGTGACTCTCTAGGTCAGACGGAGTCACGGGATGACACAGGGCGTGCTCAAAGTCATGCTGCGGGGACACATTAACACACAGATGTGTGACACTGAGCCCACAGTAGGTGACATCCTTCCACATTTAGCTTTCTACTAACAAACTGACTTCTGTGAAAGTTGTACACGGTCAAACAGAAAGCTTTGAAAAATACAGGAAACATCAGTCATAATTTCTCGACCTGGTACTGAAGAAGCACAGTGGCCCCAGGGATGGTGGGGTGGCTCGGCTGGTAGTGTTTGCCTAACATGCTCAGGCACGTGGTTCTGCTCCCTGAGAAAGTGGGTACCTGATACAAAACTCCATATTCCCATCCACAGCTACTGAGTCAGAGACATAAGGGGTGATTCTGAGGCAAGGGCTTTCCCTCCCCACAGAAAATGAGTCTTGTCTCACGGCACAAGTCCCTGGCCCCAGGCCTGACACGGGTGTCTAGTGAGAAGAGCGCGAATGACTGTCCCCCAACAGCTGTCTCTCGGGGGACCCGCCTTCACCATAGTACAGGCTGTTGTGGACTTGCCAGCCCTGTGTCTGAGGGGCTTTGAGGAGCCGAGGCCTCTGGAGGCTTGCTCCAGCTGCAGGCAAAACACCCACCAGCCCCTCCTGGCGCAGCTCCATGTGAGGCTTGAGTTGACAAAGGCGGGCTTGTGGCCCACACGGGCTTCTCTTGGGATGTGGGCAACAGAGACTGGACACTGCAGAGCTTAGGCGGAGACTTTGGGTGTCCAGGACTGAGGTGGGGGCAGGGAAAGGGGTTGCTGGGGAAGGGCTCCAGGAACGCAGGACCCTGCTTAGTCCCAAAGGCCGGGTGTTCATACCCAACCCAGGCATCTTCTGAGCACCTATGTCCTGTGGCCCTATGAGGCTCTGCAAGTGGCAGGTCCAGCTGGAGGGAGTGGAGACACAGGCCTCCTGGCTTCTTCATAGACAATCCAGAGGTCACGGGGGAGCGGAGCATCGCTTGAACTCTTCTATAGGACATCATCAGGAAGGAGGGCTCAAACTCACACAACAAGGTTCTGGGGTTTCCCCTTCCCAACATGGGGCACTCCAAATCTCATCCTCTACCTCAGATGGAAATCGCTACACGGTGCAGTGCCCTCTTCGGAGGCTGGGGAACCCTGATCCTCAACCCCACAATCCAAGGGCCACCCTGAAATTAACTGGATCAAGACCCCTAGACTGCATCACCCCTAAGAAGCTAAAGAAAGGAGTCGAGCAGTCCCCCCCCCAGCTCTGCTTTCACGTTGCCCTCTTTCCCTTGAAGCCAGACCCAAATATCTAAGCCCAGGCTGCACACAGGGAGTAGAAGGGGAGTCCAGGGTCTAGGGACAACAGCCCGGCATGATAGTCCCCTTCTCGAAATTCCTTTTTGCCTCTGACTGAAAGGCAATGCCTGCTGATTAGAGGAAGTCTGGGAAAAGCAGGTGGCTTTTGGTTCATTCCACTGACTTCTGCTTCAGGTCCAAGCCGCTGACTCTTGACCCCTTGCCATGCTCCAGTCTGACCCCTACTCTATCTTGTACCTGCACCCAGATATGCTTGGACTAAAAGCCTTGCATGGCCTTCAGGGAAGCTCGCGAACACAGGCCCAGCATCCAGGCACCTCTGACTGCCGGTTCTCTTCCCAACTCTGTGAGGGAGGCATTGAAAATGTTCCCATTTTGTAGAGGAGGCATCCAAGCCTCAGAAGTTCCCCAGAGCTGCTCAAGCTAGGGAGGGGTGAAGCCGGATTCCACATAAGGCAATGGCCGTAGGCCAGGGGATGCTAACTGCGTTCTTCCAGATTTATTCAGACCTTCGCCAGGCTAACTCCCGACCCTCTCATCTTTCCAGAGCATCTCCGCCTCCCCTCATCTGACGGAACCTACACTCTGAACTGCATGGTCCCTGAGGGTAACAACACAGGGCTGTATTTACCTTCCCCTCATCTCTCTTCCTCTAACTGCCTGAGGAAGGGTGGGGCCGGGTAAGGCAGGATCTGACCCATGCCTGGTCCCCAGCATCACTAGGATGTGGATTGTAGCAGGCACTATGGGCAGGTATGAAGCAGGCATGTAGCAGGCACTATGGGCAGGTGTGAACGAAACAAGCTGCTGGCCTGCTGGTCTCTCTTTGGAGCCTTCTGTCCTTTTGACCCCAGATCTAGGGCGTGCGTGAAAGGGCAGATAGAGCTCAGGCAGACCCCAGTGCCACCATAGGAGGGCGGCCAGGTCTGCCTGCCCAGGGAACTGCCTGCTTCCCACACACTTCCTACATGTCAAATGCCTCTCTGTCCACGCAGTGACCCAAGAGAGCTACCGGCAGGAAGCAGCCCCTCAGAGATGGCCGATTCCCAGGACTCCTGGGAAATTGGCCCGCAAGAGTCTCTAGGTTCAGGCTGGGCTGGCAGACCCAACATGAACTCACAATGCTACTAATAATAGGCTTGCAGAGCAGCACAGAACTCCACAGTTTATATATACAGACATTCCTGGTGAATCATCTCATGGGTCCTCACAGAAAGTGCTGGCTAAGGCAAGTCAGGAACCCCTGTTCTGCAGAGTGAGCTGTGAACCTCACAGCAAAGGTGGGCTGTGCCGAGCCTACCCAACCAGGAAAGAGCCCTAGACAGAACGCTTCCCTCAGGACCCCTCCTCTGTGTCACTATGCGGCAAAGTCACACATTTCTTTGCACTGACCTCTCACAATTAGCGTCTCCTCCCACTGCGGACTCAAGAACAAACTGAGCCTATATTAGAAGCATCCAGGACTTGGACACCAAAGAAATCACTAATATTTTCATATCCTATAATGGTTGTTGCAAAAATGACAAA